GGTCAACGCTGGCTCGCGCTGTCTGGGTTTGATACAAGGCTGTGACGCGCTGAATATTGAGGAGGCGTTGTCTGTCTGGTCAACACCCAGCGAAGCTGACAGTCTCCGTAGTTTCCGGGCATTCAGTGGTTGCTTTCAGGAAGCTGACCTTCCTGATACCAAGCGTCCTTTGTTTTCGTTTCCGGACCACATCATTTTAGCCTCAGAAAACACTTTATTCGTACAACGCTATAGTCAATTATGAGGCAGCGGAAGGTTTTGCCGTATGAGTTCACCATATTTACTAACAGTTGGGCTGAAAAGGACTGGACCCTCCAGGGCAACTGTTATCAGGGCCATCGGACTCAGAATCAGGTGCATTCTCACACACTGAGCGGAGTCAAAGTTGTTGAACAGTATTTGTGGACGAGAATTCAATTTCATACAACAAGTGCAGTGTGAATCATGACATTTATGCTCACCCAGAGATATCCTAAGCTAATTAAAGAACGGACAGAAGGTAGAAAGTCTATGCGACTCATCCAGGCGTTGAGTACTCATTATGTAACAAACACATCTGTAGTCTAATTGATCTCGTGTTCGTTTTCTTTCAAAAACCAGTCAAAATTTGTTGCTGTTTAACTTATTTGGTTGGTCGATCAGGGAGTCCCTACTTCCGAAACGATGGTGGTCTAGTCTTCTGATGTGCCCAAGGCGGTATAGTACTTATCGCCCACAAATAATAATAACAGTATGTTTTACCTAACGACCCCCACAAGACAACTGCAGTTTAGTTGGACATATTTTTCCGTAGTATACTTTGAAGTGCCCAGGAAGTCTTCTGTGGATGATTGTTCTCGATTCGCGCGAATAGTTTGGGGGAACACTTCCTATACGAAATAGTTTCCCATAGGAGACGCTGAGGAATCATCATGCAGCACCCTTGAACAAGAAGACCCACTCTTGTCCGCTAACGATCAAGCCCTGTGAGCACCGATATCACTGGACAACTTGGTATCTCACAGATATGGGCATGTGAGAAATTTCGCCCAATGTATATAATCCAATTCATCATCTACAAACCGTGTGCCATGGGTACATTGGTTTCAGCTGCAACAGTTCCAGTCACCAGGAAGTGGAATACTATAAGACAGACAGTCAAGCATTGGAGGCGATGGCATGTTCAGTTCATTCGAAAACTAGGTAGCTATGTATTGGAGGCGATAGCTTTAATGCACAACTGCCACTGTTTGCGCGATTTGGCCATTTCTTCCAATGCCATTGATCATTGGTGAGTTGAGTCCTGGGATCCCCATCAAGGGAGTTGGCAGTTGACTAGACAAAGGTTACTGGTTAGTGTCTCCATACTTTGTTGCCATGTCATTCACTGTCCACCTTTCGGTCGCTTACACTCATCACAGGGTTGATTGAAAAGAGCTCTGCGAGGTATACGACCTCTCATTTCCTAACCAGCGGGACGTATGAAGCGTGAGTAACTCATCTATCGCGGCAAAGTTCCTTTTTCCTTTAACCGCATGACGTACCTCAGCATAACTAACCCGATGTTCCCATCACATCGGAACAATGCTTCGGGGACACCGGTAGTCAATGACTGACAATTTTCGTATGTCTCCTGGGTGCAGAGGCTACGTTTCTGATTCATAAGGCAGTATGGACCACACTGACGCAGTGTAAACTCTGCCTTTGACAGGCAAACTGACGTCACACCAGCACCATAGGTACAAAATAGTGCAACAGAGCGCCCTATGTGCGACGGATAGTAGTAGGGTGATGCCACGATGGCTTTCGCATTACGTACTTGAGACGTTTTTGAAGAATGGGATGCCGGTTGGGGGCTCTATTCCACAGGCATTTTGTTTTTGTTCTACACCTGCAGTATATTCGTCAGATTGTCCACCAGGTCCACATTGCCATGTTTGAAGAATTTGGGGTGCAGATCATCCGGGCAGGGTGCCTTTTCGTTCCGAAGAAGTGATATTTCACGCTGAACTTCTGCTTTTGACGGGAACTGGTGTCGATGTATCATTCAGGCCCGTTGGATTCTTCCTTTGGACTGACCTTTCGATCATTAGTTGAGGTTGTTCATGTGGAATAGAGGTCATACCAACACAATTTCCTGGCTCCGAGGTTGTGGTTTGGAACGCGGGTGGCGACCTATTCTCCTAAAGTTGTACTACTCACCAAGCACTGATGCCTTTCGGCCAGGCTTTTAGCCAAAGGCTGTGTTTGGAGAGCTCAGCCACCCTTTTCTTTAGGTTCGAGCGTCACGACAGTAGACCAGCCCAAATACAGTCACGGGTTGCCAGAATGCCAAAAATTCCGTGCCACTTGGGTTGTTGCGTGGCCGCGCTGCTTTACGTTTTCTACACACATTAAGAGTAGTAGACGCAAACAGACTACTGGTGACAGCTGTAATCTACTTCAGTATTATATTTTAATCCTATCTCCTTTGGGATTACTGAAATTTGACGGTGCCAGTTAAGTTTATATCTCTTCCTCATTCGTCGCATCATTTCTCCCCACACTAGGGCAACCGGCAACTCTGTTTTTCCCTGTAACCTCATGGTGCTGCGGTCATTAAAGCGTTAAACGAGTTTCATTGAATATCTCCTACAAATGACTGAACTCGCATGACTCTACTGGATATTGTACAAAAATTTTGTTCTCTGTTGCGGGCTACTTCACACAGTTCCTCTCGGTAAGCCAGCAAGGTCGTACTCAATAATTCCAAAAATGGTTGTTTTCGGCCCACGCATTACGTCAGCAACAGCAGGTTTGTGAAAATGCAGTACGTACTGGTGTCACACTCCGTATGGAACAAGTCCTCCATCGGTCGACGAACAACGTATTTGTCTGATCTCCTCCTTGTACGTTAAAGGTACTCAGGGTAAGCAGGAGGACGTTTTCAACCGTCTGTCGTCGTTCAAAGCCTGATGCCGCATTTGTCAGGTGTATTGCCGTTAGACGCTTTCGTGTGCGGTTTCTCAAAGATGTAACTGCTTACCGTTCACCAGATTTGCCGGACAGGCTTAATCTCTTCAGTCCATTCAGTTTGGACTGAAATTCAGGAGCCGCGCTGGTCGTATGCATACCATCTGTTTCAGTGTGATCATAGACAGACAGTTGATTAATGCTGTAGGAACCTGCGGACTTCCACTGGAGGGGTACACAGCAAACAGGCATCTCTCCCACTTCTGCTGGGAGACCGCTGTTTTCAAATGCCCGGGAGTATCATTTAGGCTGACCTACGTTGAAAGAAATGAAAACCGCCACTGGATTAAACATTTAATTTTTTACACCAAATGCAACGTAACTCCCTCCGTCGCGGGAAGTACGACAAATCCGTTTGCGGTCGTAATCAGCATCATCATCGTCCATTCACGCTAGTTTTCTATGGATATGCCACTTTCGAGCTATTCATCGGTTCGTGTGACTTTTTTCACGCTAAAAAACCATGAGGTGATGATGTGATACCTTTTGAATATGGTTGCTTTTATGTCTGACCGCATGGTCTCCCTCGTTTTAATGACTCAGTGTACATGAAACCTAGCAATACCTGTGTAGCGTTGTTGTAAGAGTTCGTGCCTCACACCATTTTCTTAATCACCAGGACGATTTTTGTCTTCTTTCGTGGAAGAGTTAGTGCTACTTATGCTCGTGTGTCTGAGAGATGTCACAGTTTTGTGGACAGAGATATATGCTAATAATCATGAGAAATCAAATGTTTAGCTGACCGAATATTGGAAACTCCAATGAAGTAGTAAGTTTTCGAGGATTACAGTTGGCAGTATCCATGATTGGTCACTTCAGTTTACGTGCGTAGCATTTGTGGTCCATTTCGTTGGTGATGAGGCAAAAAGTCGATAGTTATTCCGATTCTTGACATCCGTACTGATGTCAGACACTGTTCAGTCTGAAAATAGTATCAAGAACACTAACTCTTCACAGTTTGACCCAGTTTGCTCCATATCTGCTGTGATAACAGCGCTCCTCGACCGGCGTTTGAGTAATGCTAGTTGTCTGTTTCTCATCGGCTAGGTGGACGTGACTCACTCGTCGACGTCGCTTCCGCGTTTTTCCGACTTTCTTGTAGCCACCAAACTAGACATCTTTCCAATATGGGCGGAATTCCTGCCTAGCGCTTCCGTTTGATGTGAACCAGCTGAGCAGCTGTGTATCTGTCATAGAAGTTAACGATAGTGAATAACGCTCGGCATCTCATTGGCGACTTGCGTATTTATTGAATCGTGAGTCACCACTGGTATTGGGAGTGTTTGTCATTCACTTGTCAAATCATTGGACGAACGCAATGTGTTCCTCTATCCTGTGGAGTCAAAGCAATCGCTCGATTGGGGAAGATGAATCTTAAAGACGAGTTTTTTAAAAGTCGACCAATGGCGTACGCACGCGGATACGGGACCTAAGTAGGGTAAGCTAAGAAATGATGCTAAAAAGAAATGCTCACGTTAATCTTGTGATTTGGACAAAGGTAAAGCCTGGGGATTGATGTTAAACTGTATACGTCAGTATACACTGTACTATACTACAGTATACTGCATTATTGTAGCCTCTGTGGTTTGAACAGTATTTCATATACTTTCAATTTTATTCGAGCCTATCCTAATGCCATAGCTGATTTACATCACCTCGTGCTTCATCCACTTTTGAGTGTAAATAGTGAAAACTTTTTTATGGGCTTCTGTTACTATCCCGACTGTTGTGGATGAAAGATAAACAAGAAATTACCGGACTCAGATGCACCATCATTTATTATTGCGACTTCACTTGAAGTGGTGACAGTTAGTAAGATACTTTGAGAGCGATGAGGGGACAATAGAGACTATAGAAACAGATAAACTTTATTTTGTCACACTTTGCTTGGCCTGACGTTTGTTACGCACGTTCTCACGATTCCTGATCGCGAACGTGCTTCGAATATTTATGTTTCTACCATAGCGACGCAGTTGCTTGAGCTGTCATATGTATATTTTCTCCTTCAGCTTTGCTAGCCGATACAGAATCAACCACCGGCGAATCGGTAAGTCAGTCTGTAGTTTGTCAGCCACGGACCTTTTTTCTGGTAACACTGGTATGCGGCTGTATTGACACTTGTTTCCCGCACGTTTTTACTGGATGAACCCGTGCTGATGGTGCGATGGTATTTCACATCTTGTCACAGCAACTGAGAGATAAATTAGTCGTTTAGATACTTGCAATCATTGTCCTAGATTTCGGTTAGGATCACGTGGTTATTTAGTTATAGACCTGATCAGCTGCGCTGGTCATGTGTCCGCCGTTCGCCTGCGAGTTGAGCTCAGCACTGATAATCTGACTACAGAGGCATTCCATTAATATCTCTGTTCGTGTGATGAATTCTGTGGGATTGCTTTGTTCTTCACAGGATGTACCTGCTGTCACTAGGATTGTGTGAAAGTTTCTTCCGCTCTGGTGGCTGAGAATGAGCAGAATGAACGCATGACTGGTTCTTTGTTTCAAAATGGCAATTTGTTTTGTGCATTAGAAATACCAGAACAATAAATTCTTGCTATTATGTGTGAACTGAGGTTCTACTTGATTAGTCTTCCACATTCGCTTATCTTCGTTTTCCTCCCCAAGACATCTTTTCCTTTCTACATAGTATTATGTTGTATGATGTAGTATTTGAAGTAATTTTTCTGAAAAAAATTATCAACGATCCCTGGTTGCTTTGACTGACGAAGTGAAAGGAAAAATGTGCCTGATATAAACTTTCCAGCTATTTCTCCTCTGTCATAGATGTTTTAATAACATTTATACCTCTTCTCTACAAGTCACATGTTAATATCTATGAGTATCCACTTAAATTACTACGCTTTCAGCCCATCAGTCACTTTCTTGGTACCCTGTGTTTACAGAGCTAACTGCTCCTCGATGTATCCAACCTTTGAGCGCCCCAGTTTCCGGTTTAGTTAAATTAAATTCCTCTGCTGCCAGGCGCTTCTCTGCCGATCATTGTCGAGTTCCGGGTTATCAAAGTCGGAAGCATTCTGGCTCTGGGTCGGGCAACTCATCGAGCAACATACTGGTTATCAGTAGCATGAAATTGGCAGCTTTCTAAAACTAAAACATCTTCCTAAAGTGTTATCTAATCAGAGGACTCTAGAACTTGGGGCAGTCTGACGCGATCTCTCTTGATGGGTTTAACATTGCTCGGCTTAAGGTCCCACAGGCGCCGTGACTTTCATCGAATACGGGAGTGTGTTCACTCAGCCTACTTACCCAAAGGGAGCTTTCCCTCATGTTAACCTACAAAACAGCGGAACAGTAGTTCACTCCTCAGCTGGGAAACATTTTCACGGAAAAGCATGGTAATAAAACCGGAAGGATTGGTAATTGATCAGGTGGCTGTTGATCTGTTCGCCGAGCTTGGCAATTGATTTGCAAACGTTTCGTCATCATTCGAGGAGACGTCTTCAGTGCGCTGTTGGTTGCTTCGTGCGTTGGTTGGTTGGTTCGACTGTTCTCGAACGAGAAACTCACTGCAGTTATCCGGATTTTCGAACAAAATTGTCCGAAGATGTTTCGGGTATACTGAGAAGCCGTAGACGGTCACCTACAGACACCGAGTACAATAATGTGGTTGTATGTACCGCAGTGAAAGCGGATGACTATGTGAAGTAACACTTCATATTCACCCGTAAGACGTTTAAAATCTCCTGCGTAGCGTTGAACCCAAGCTATTGCGTACTCAACCATTGACTCTCTGGGACTGCCTCCCTTTTAAGGAGCACGTATCTGACTGCACTTCCTCTACGAGAATGGTGATGATCAAGATTTCGATGAAACTGGCTTGCTCTAAACAGAAGACATACGTCTCAAAGTAATGAACGATATGGCACCCGTTTCCCTACTACTTTTCTTTCGGTTGTCTGCCTATTGTGGCTTCAGCTACTCCACTAGGTCACTTGGGAACATGTCAGGTAGTTCGGACTAATCAGAACATCCGCTTGGTGTCCAGCGTTAAGATGTTTCGGGCTATGTTTGGAATATGTAACACGGTTATTGTCTGGATGAAGATTCTTCACCCATTTCGCAATTATTGCCTAGTGTTTCCATCCCAGAACAGTGACAAGACGACTAGAATTCTTTGCCGAAACTTGTTTCTTTTGACAGGAGCGTCTAGTCTGTTATGTCGTCCTTCATGTAAGCAATTCCGGTGACTGAATGATTACGGTGACAAACTCAGGATGCAAATGGGTGAAGCATTCGGTGTATCATCAAGCGTATTCTTGTCACTTCGCTGAGTCATGGTCTGGAGAGTGGCCCGTTAGTGTGCTAGCTTTGCGTTCTTGTCCACTTCCAAGGTAGCCGCGTACACACACACACATGCACTCATCCTATCCGAATCACGTTCCGATAGGCTGTGGTACTTGTGTAAACTGTTGTTTGCGGACTCAGTTTCCCCCTCTCACCCCCGTCCCACAGAAAAAACAACACTGTACATGTGCGTCATGACTCTGACATACAATGCAAACTCTTGTTGTCACACCGCTTTGTTGACCAGTTGGTTTCTGGCTTGATTTGCACAGCCATAGGTGCATTGTGTTTGCGCGATGACTGTAGTCAGTCACGAATACAGCAACCGGACGAATGTTCGGTGTGCTCTGGTCGTATAAGAAGACTGATTACAATAGCATACATGATGTGCCCACAGAAACGCTAAAAAACACAGCTGTTTCTCCATTTCGAGCAATAAAGATAGAAGAGAAACAATAGTAATCTTTTCCGTTGTGTGATAGTGATTTGGGCTTCTGTAATCCGAAATCAACCCACACACTTTTTACTCCTTCTGTCACATGCAGTCAGTATGAGATACCAGATGTGCAGATTTAGCCTTGGGTCAGTGGGGCTTTGTGATGTGCTCCACTGACTTGGCCCTTAGCAAACTAGATGGATGGAACATATCGCAGATTCATGCATACATGGTGCGACTAATTTAGTAGTGGTGAGCAGCGGTATTCAGAAGCACATTATCGATTCGGATCCGTCTATGTAGCGGAGGCGCTCTGGCACATGCTCCAAAACGAAGCTTTTGAATTCGATTAGTTACCATATCTACCGAGTATGTTCAAAATGATCTTTACAGAGCCGCAACATATCAACATTTTGACATCTTATTGTACCTATTATTTAGTAAGTCACATTTTGTCCGACTGTGGTCGTTGCCCCATGAAGTTCTGACACGTTGACAGATGCCTTGGAAACAAGTTTTGGGTAGCGCCAAGTTTGTTCACAGGTCGATAGGTCATACTGTCGTTTTTGGGAGACAAACTGATCAAACTATTGTTTAAGGATCTCGTGTTTAAACTCGGTCGCACGATTAGAACAGCAGAGAAGCGGTATTGTGACACATTTGGTTATAATTCGTCCATAACAGTAGGTGGTGCATATGGATAACTAGGTGTTGTTTTGTAAGAATAACACGCTGGCAACCTTCTCTTATCCTTACTCAAACAGCCAATCACCCTCAACCTGGATAATGAAAACATAATATATGTTCCGGTACCTTCAAAACTCTAATCTGTTCACATTTTGATGTTTATACACAATTGTGTGGTCTAATAACCGTAGATTTGAACACTGATGCCGATGAAGTCAACTTTTACGTTGAATGCACTGTGCTTGTAGTGAGCATGATTCTGGCGATTAATGTTGTAGGCCAGTTTCAATAGGACGTGATTCCGATAATCACTTGGTGTCCAGTTGTTCAACCATTGATGATTTCTTATAGTGTGAAGATCTGCAAGCGAAAAACTTATTCACAATCATATTGCTTGATTTTTCACAGAAGGTTGAACCAATGCCCATCCTGCATCGGCCGGATCAACCGCCGCCTCGTATTCTGGAACTTTACATGGTGGTAGACGAGGCATTGGTAAGTGAATACCATCCGTAAATAACCTTATTCTGGAGTTATATATCCAGTTTCTGGATCTCATCCACAGTTTGGCATGCCAAAAGGTCGTTTGATTCATGCAGATTCGTTTTATGGATCTACTAATGTAAGGATGCGGAAATCTACTGTGTAACTAAGACATATCATGCGCTGCTACTCGCGCCTGGCAGCCATGGTATCCTATTAGTTAGTCTGGTTGTTAGGCTATTAACTTTCGGCCGGTCCATTGCTTCTACAACCACCCTCGACGTCTACTAAACGACTGGTATGTTATCATGAGCGATACTCCAAAGGGTTCGGAACTTTGTGACAGCTTTAAATTACCTCTGGCAACACGCCAGATTTACGTCAAAAACTGATGTAGAATGGATGTATGCGTATATCAACTTACAGGCATCTGACCGTCTTTGGACACCCGTTGACCGAGTTTGAGTTTTGCTGTATATTGCCTTTCACTGTCTTGAAGGGCTTTAGGAGAAAAATAATACATATCTCTCTGATGTGGAGCGTCGGTGCCCCCTAGTGATAAACAGGTGAGTACCTTTACTCTTGCACAATGCGCCCTGACTTCTGAATTCAACTGATACGCCACCAATAGCACCGGTCCAGGGGTGGACCTTATAAACAGTTTGGTGGTTCTAATACAAAATACCCATGATGACTACTATAGAAATGTCGTTTTTTAGACACGATGTCTGGAGTTTTTAGTCCTTCATGAAATATTGTTCGCCATGTACTATGAAACCAAAACTAATCCCTTATGCCTTGAGGACCGAAGGCAACTATCGGTTCCTCTATCCGAAGGATATAAAAAAGGCATATTGGTTGTCGTCACAGCCATGCATTTCACTAAACAACACTTTATGGTCATCAGAATACTACAATCGATGTGTCATTTTGCTGTGTCATGGATTCGGTGTGATGACTAGTATATAAAATATTCTGTCTGGATAAAAGTCATGTCCTGCTTTACAGAGCCGCGCGTTGCCATCTGATATGCTATTTCGATCGGAACTGTTCTGTACTGTGAGCTACGACAATCTGAGTTAACGTTCTTATCATTATTGAGGTTCGGTGATTAGATTCAACGCTTGTATGTAAGCTTCAAACCGCTTACGTTATCATAACGAACCAAAGTTGAGACGTGGTCAGGATCCAGCGAGTTGGATCCTTCGTGGGGACTCCCTACACGCAACACATTCCCCCCTCCCCAAAATATTCATCTTATCATTCGAAACCAACACAACTCTCTGTCGCACAAAATCTGAAGTGAAGAGTGATAATCTTGTGTTGGGGAATAAACCATGACCCATAGCTCTTCCCCTTCCCACTTTTGAGACGAGGAAACAGTTGACCCCCAGTCCACAATGATCGATGCGTTGTGAACAATGGTCTGCGGTCTGAATATCCCACTTAGTTGAACATGCGGGCTATAAATAGCTCCTCTCATCTTCACCATTCGCGTTATGACATCGTCCATGGAAACATGTTCTATTTCTAAACACATTTACAAGTCAGTTATACCTTGCAGTTTACCTACTGTTTTTTTCAGGGTGCTACTTACTGAAGCTTTGCGTGCGTATTATTCTCGCATTGAAGGCAGTAACTGGTTCACACAGTACACTCATACGGTCAAATCTACTATGTGTTTTGAGTCTTTTTTATGTTAAATTTCAAAGGGCTTAATCACACACGAAGATGATGTACTGATTCTTACGTAATCCAATGTGAAACGCACAGCCCTTGTATAAACAGCATGGGAATGAATTGCTTTTGACAGTCAATATTGAGTGGATGAGTTTTCACACGTTGTGAACTTTTAGTTGCATGAACGATGGACCGACAACTGAATCCAGGGAGTTGGTGTGACGAACAACGTAAAACCAGGTGATGCTATTTCGCCGGATGCAATCTTTGGATGCTGAAGCAATTTAAGCCATTTTCTCAATCTATCATCCACAAACAGCTTTTCACTACCGTTGGGTTTACTTGGCAGGGAGCTACCAATGATATGGGCCTGATTAATCAATTATGGGACTCGAACATACGATGCTAGGTGCGGTATTTGTAGTGTGAGCAGCCAGTCAGTAGCCGTACTTTATCACTTGCGCACTTGCGAGATCCGTCTCAAGCTTGGACGGATCTTTTCTAACCCTTTGCCCTTGCTTAGATGCGAGCAAAATATGACCCTATGATCTGCAAATCGGTGTTAAATAACTCGAAATCCTGTGCGATATCAACTTGAAGTTCCTAAATAGGAGCTTAAATTCTATCAATGAATGCATGGTTTGCTGAATTTAGTTCAGATAATCTTAAATCTATGTGTGAGAGTGACCAAAACTAGAGTTTCAAATACAGAATTTACGGAGATAGGATGCGACCTGGATGTTTCAGCAACAAGCCTGTTGTCAAGTGGTAATTTCAGAAGTCGTAAGATCTCGAGATATCTCAGTTTTTAAGACGCGAACTTACGATCGCAAGGTCCTTGGTTCGAACCCAACGTCAGAGTCTCGAATGCTCTTGTCTAGGCTTGGGCAACCTGACACCATCTCAGCCCTCTGTCTTCCTTCGAGTGGTGGCTTGACACGAAGAGAGTGTATAAACTTCATTCTGTTTCATATCTATCTGTACCCACTTGATTTCCAGAAATTTGCTAAGGAAGATGTTTTCTACCGTATTTGGTTCTGAAAACTTCGCACCTGATATTAATATTTCTATTGCAAGTGATGTGACTGTAGTAACGCGGAGCGATTTTGACGTGACTTTGCTGTTTAGTGGCCGAGCGTATTCGAAGTAGAATTCCTGAGGAACTCCACGTTTAAAAGTGTACGCTGTTGCCACTTCTTCTATTGGACAGTATGTTTAAGCGTGCTGGGTGGTACTTAGTGTGTACTGCAGACGGTTGTTATAAGGCTACTCAGATTTCGCCTTCCGTTGAACTACTGCCATTTTGAGTGAACCACATTGAAGACGATAGGCAGTGAATATTTCGTCCTGCGGATGAAGCCAACCCATGCTGGAAATCAGGGAAACACTGTGAGAGGCTGTTTTATCCTTATTGGAAATCATCAATAGCGTGCACCCCACGAAACTCCAATGAGTTTCGAACACGGGTACTGCTGGATAGAACAGCTGCACAGTTCTCGGCTTTTCAGCATAGATTATTTACTTTACTGGACGTAGCTATATTGAAAATCAACAAAGACGACAAACCGTCACCGTATATTCAGGTCATCTGCTTAAACATGTCACAAACTAAAATGTACATTTTTATCTTTATTTCTTAGGCAACAGATGAGGGCCGGCAGCCAATTCGGATGCGCCCATATGATGTTATTACTCGGGTGTCGAAATCACAGTCCATAGTCTCGGCTATTCGGCCACCTGGGATTAAAACTGTGACATCGCTATCAACTTTATGAAGGTCCAGTTTGGATAAATAGGGTAAAACAGATCTAGCATGACCAGTCGAAAAAAGGCGGTCCAGATAGTCGGTCGCTGTAAGATGGGTCTACTCGAAGGTGATTTTGAGGCTGATTTTTTGTCGGGAAATAGATGCGTTTACTACGGTATATGTTGGTGATCAATTTGTATGGTGGTTCGAGTTGTTTTTGCATTGTCACGCCTAAATCATCCAGGTGGCCATCAGTGTTTTATCATACATTCCACATGCACATTCGCTTGATGCACTGGATTCGTGAGTGTGTGTAAACAAACTAGGATAGTCTAGGTCCTTTGGTTGTCAACGCGTTTGTGCTGTTATCAAAATACACTCACTTGTGCGTGCGATCATGCCTCCTCGAGTCAGTTTTGCTTTACTGGACAGACTGGCTGGATGAGGCTGGTTTACTGGCAGTAGGTCTTGACGGGATCTCTATCATTGCAACCTGTACCGTTAAGACGAAGACTGGTCAACAACAGTGACCGAATTTCCGATGCAGTGACGTCATGCAATAATTAAAAACGACTTCTTAAGTCCAGAACCTCAAAGCCGTACTGAGGCTTGCACAGCTGAACACTAATCTGGATAGTGAAATTGGACAAGCTGTTCCTTTTCTTGGTTTCCAGAATCGTACTCATCGGCGAAGCGTTTCAGTGTGACCAGCTCCTTTCTGTACAACCGTAGGAGCGGGCTCGAGCGAATGACAGTCCATCTGACGTTTGTAAACTGCCATCTATTTACCTAACTCATCCATTATATTAGCCACTATTTTCATGTACAGTAATCCTCGAGACAGGTCACCGTAGGGCTGGGTGAGTTTAGGCCTGTGGATTGTAGTCTCCTTTCAGAGGAATTGTTCACTAAATCATAACTGACAAGCCCAGGGTGTCTTTGGAAGGTCTCTGTCTGTTAACCTAATGCATGTAACATAATGGGAGTGATGGCGTTAGACACGGTAAATTGGAGGATGATGAGCTGAGAACTTCGTAAATGGTGCCAGTGTTATCGGAGATCATGGTGTATAAATAGGCTTAAGTAACATAAGCAGGAATGTACTGTTTTCTGCCTGATTTAGACGACACAGACCCAGATGTATTGGTTGATCTCCTCGCCCTTTCGATGGCATGTTAGTACGTACGTCATCTTCCGCGTGCGCATAAACTTACACTCAACGACAGAAAAGGTTGGCCTAGATTTCAGAGACGCCACCCGAAGTAATGTTTTGAGGAAACTGCCCATTTGTTCGGGAAACACCAGAGGCTTGAATATGTCGCGCGGGAGCGCTTTACCTTTACACTTACTAAGCACAGGACGACTGATTTATCCGATAATAAACTGGACCGTTCTGAGCCATTCTTGGAAGGATTAATTGTGTTTACGTATCTGACACTGGGTGCTAATATGTGCCGTTTGAATAGAAGTCCGAGTTTCCAACGTTCACACAGTTGGCACAAAGTCGAGATCGCACTTTTCATTGAAGCCTTTTAACGATAAATTTACTTTCAACCCATACATACGCAAGGGATATCGCTGTGCG